GCGGGTTCACCGTTGAGCTCAGGTCCCACTGGGTGAGTACGACTTTTTCACTGCTGTCCTCAACGCTCTTGTTTACGTTATCGTTTGGAGCAGTGTAAGTATGGTTTCTGAGACTCCCATTGAGTCGGCAACAAACCTCTGCTGTATTGTTCACTAGGTATTCCTCACCCGACGGTATGCTCTGAGAGTAACCCCGAAGGAGCAAGCGGATTTCGTATGGTCAGCTCGTGGGAAATGGAATTTGCTCATGTTCGGCGGCCTAGGGGATGGTAAGCTACTCTAACTTAGTTCCTATCACCGATATTGCCTCTCCTTTAGCGATCGGCGGCTTGCTGGGCTTCATCGGCCAGCCGTATGTCAGTGGAGTGATGTATTCGCTGATGAACCAGGCTATAGTAGGACCCTTGGGTCCTCTATCATTCCAGCCTCCTAGCAGGTACCATTTACTGTGATATTCTCATTGCTTATTCTGGGAACTCGCTACATTAGCCTGGAGCTTATAGGAGTCCTCATCGTAAGAACCCCCTTCCGGTGTGACACTCTAGCTATGCTATCCTTTGGAGGTTCTTCTCGCTGTATGCATGTCCATGCACAACTTTAGTGCTTCCCATTCGGACCCCTTCATGGCGGCTCTGATTGCCCTCAGCACCTCCGGGAACGCTCTCTCCTTCGTAAGATACGCCACACATGGACAATATAACATATCAATCGTAGGTTCTCAAGGAGAAGGTCTTCCGAGCGTTCGTAGCATGGCAGACGTCAGCCGCTCGTGCGCCACTCCTAGCAGACCAACGGTGAGGCAGCTGAGTCAGCTGAACTTTGCCATCAGGCCTCTCAGGTCAAGCCCACGCAAGCTAGATGTATTCGTTGTCAACTGCTGTGTGTCCGTCTTCCAAGTCCTTTGGCTTCTCCCTGTAAGTGCTCTCTCATCTCGTTATGCTGCTACCCCTGCGATAGTTACTAGCGATCGGCCCAGCCATAGGGAAAACCCATGGCCTAGGGTTGTTCGAATATCTCCAAGAGGCCAGCTACTGTTTCGTCGGAGGCTGTCCTAATGCTTGGCAGCTGTGCGTGATAGCCGTAGAGACTCCATACGGCATCCTCGGCTCCTCTCAGGTACAGCGGTTACATCTGCGTGAACCTT